CCGGGTCCAAATGGATCCCCAAGCTGCGGACCCCATCCCTGGCGGGCAGAGTCACCCCCCCAAAAGAGAGGGAGCTTCCCAAATCCCCAACTGTGGGGGCGCCCACCCTCAGTACCTCCGTCTTGTCCGGGTTCATCATATGTGCATCAGAAACAATGTCATCAGCAGTGACAAAGTGCCACTGACTAAAGGTTTCATTTGGCAATTGGGGACATACACGGCTTTGTCACATTGCATATATGCAGCAATTTCTCACTGCAGACACACATGGAAATGCACAACAGGATTTCAGGTTTTTCGAGATCACACATAAATCCTGCTATAGAGGAATAGACCACATTTTGAGAATCAATGCCCAAAACAATCATGGATCTTTGCTCTTGTTATTTGCTTACTAGGTCAACAGTATGCAACCACAGTTTCCTTTCTGGGTTGGTTTGTTTGTTTGTTTCAAACTAAAGAGAGAAGGAAGTCTAAAACAAACCCTGGACAGACTGATGTTCAAATGCCCACATGGGCCAGACATGCTTGTGCTCCCTCTCTCAATCTAAAAGACTTCATGGCATTGGTATGATGATAAAAGAGGGAACGGACAACCTTCTTAAGCCACCATGAATTCATTCAGGAAGAGGCAGCTAAAAATGTAACAAGCAAAAAAAAATTGAGGAAGACCAGGGGTCCCAGAATAATTATGATGATATCACAGGCACATATGCCATCAGCCTCCAAAACACGCAACTCCCCCCCTTGTCCCCCGCATCAGGTCTCACCTGCCCTAACACCACAGCAGTGAAGACTGCTTTGAAGTTCTCAAGGTCAACATCCTGCAGTTCTGCTACAATTCCTGCATCCAGAAGCACCAGCCGGAGCGGGGAGGGAGAAGGCGCCACCTCCAGAACAAGTGTGTCCAAAAGATCCACCATAACAGCTCGATCCTCGTGGTAGTCATTGAAGCACTCTGCTCCCTGAACCAAGATATTCCCAGGGTGCAGATCAGCATGGACAAAGTTATCCACAAATACCTGATGGAATGAAAAATCACAGCATAAAAGAAATGCAAGGTCCCAGCTTTTCATACTCTTATTTGACTCTCCCACTAGAAGCAGTTCTAAACAATGATGTACTGCATTCAAACAAATTCCCAAGATTCTTCAGCCTATATGCTCTGCTCCTTCCACTTCACTTTTTATAAGTACCTGAATTAAAATCAATGATCCTATATTATACCATAGAACTGAGAATATACAGCAGTGTGCAATTTATATTTTTCAGAGCCAAATATGAGTTTTTGTTGCATATTTCTTCATCTTAAGGAACCTGCTCCAGATCATCTCTATTCTGATCGGACATCAAACTGCTGGATAACTCAGCAGCTTAGGTCTTGCTGGGAGTTCAATTTCCCCACTGTGTCTTTTTGAAAGGAACTGGACTTGATGATCCATAGAGATCCTACCAGTTCTGCAGTTCTAAGATTATTATTATTTTCCAAGGTACTGTACCTCTACATTTTCGACACTCAACTATTTTATTTTCGGTCTTTCACAGCCTTTCCCCTCCTCACATTAAGAAACTCCTATATTAAAGAGAAGGGGCATTGCAAATCGGTAGGATATTTGCTCTGCAAATGAAATATCTCAGATTTCATTCGTAGGAACATAGTCACCCAGAAATCCCAGGTCATGGAGAATGGTGAGCTGTAGACTAAAATGTCTGGAGAGCCAAAGGTTCCCCACTTGAAGGTAAAAAATGGTTAAGCCCAAGCTGTCAGAAAAAAAAAGCCCCGAAAGTCCTCTTACCATCTTGAGGATCATGTCTATACCCATCTTGGCTAATTTTCGTTGCAGCTCCATTGTGGTCTCTGTATGCAAATACTGGGACATGGGCTTGCTTTCCTTAAAGAGAGACAAAGCTTAATCAAGAAGGGCATTCATATCCTCTCTCCCTCTCTGTTTCATACTCTTTGGAGGGGAACTAAGGTGCATCAAGGAGAAAAGAGCTATAACTGATTCATCAGCAATGAATATTATCAGATGCTGTCTGTGATCTGCCACTAGATTTTTTCCATTATGATGCTCCAAAATATTCTGGTCTGCCAACACACCGTCCTTCAAAGGCACAAAGATCCCATTATAATGCTGTTCAGGCTCACCAAGAGGAACATGTGGTTCTCCAGGTCCTGTTGGATTAAGGTAAAGGTAAAGGTTCCCCGTTTCCAAGCCATAGAGCCAGCATTTTGTCTGAAGGCAATCTTTCGTGGTCACATGGCCAGTGCGACTTAGACACGGAACGCTGTTACCTTCCCACCGAGGTGGTCCCTATTTATCTACTTGCATTTGCATGCTTTTGAACCGCTAGGTTGGCGGGAGCTGGGACAAGCGACGGGAGCTCACTCCGTCGCGTGGATTCGATCTTACGACTGCTTGGTCTTCTGCCCCTGCAGCACAGGCTTCTGCGGTTTAGCCCGCAGCGCCACCACATCCCTGTTGGATTGCAGCTTCCATAATGCTCACTTTTGCCTATGCTAGCTAGGGTTGATGGGAACTGGAGTTTGCCAACATCTGAAGAGCCACATGTTTCTTCATCCTTGGCAGCAAGCCATCACTTGACTTTGTAGCCTTCCCCTAACTACGGCCTGCAGAAAAAGCATGTTAGCAGCTAAAGCAACAATGTTCTGCACAGGTTTGCCCACGTCTTTTTTTCATCCCAAATTGTATGCTGCCGTAACCCCTGCACAGCAAGCAATTGGTTTTTGTCCAGTACTTTAATTGATACACGAGGCTTGGAGATATCAGATCAAGGTTCTCTAACCTCAAATGTTTCTACTAGGATGTTTCTTGTCACATAAGGGTGGAGAGGAATGGGGAACTTCACATAATCCACATCTTGAAAGTTAAGACGGAAGTGTTCCAGATTTCTTGCTTCATAGCGCAGGTCAATCTAAACAGACCAGGAAAGGGAGTTGACAGGGTGCATAATTCCAGGATTGCATAGCCTTTGCTCCAGCTGAAACAACCAGTGGAGTCCTTCATCAATAACCAGACTAACCCTGAACAGCCTCTCTTCTTTGATCCAAAAACACAGGATCACCTTCCCATTGGACGTTTCCTCTCTCTGGAGGCATTCACTCATCTACTGAACCTGGGTTCATCCCAGGAACAAAAACAATGTTGGCTTTCTTTACAAGACTGATATAACCAGATAAAAGGCCAGGCTTACACTAATTTAGCTAGACTTCACTCCCACTGAAACCAATGAGATTTAAGGGTGCAACTACACAATTCGGCTTTGCTACAATTGGATTTGCAGCCTGTATTACATTTGAAATTGCAGTCGATGCTCCCACAGGACAATGTGCACTGAAAACACTATGCAAATGTTGACTATCATATATGCTAAGCAATTCCAATTTCCTGAGTAAGTAGTCTGAGCAGTCCTACCCCACCCCTGCAAGCTAGCAGTAGATTCAGGAGAGAACCTCCGTTTCCTTGAGCACAAAACATTTTTTAAATAAATCCCAGGAGAGGCAAACCTAACAGCCCATGGGTAGCACAGAATACTGATCGTTTGGGAAGAGAACAGAGCAAAACAGCATGGTCCAATTTCTGTACCATTTATTGCAGTTCCCTCCGACGGCTATTGATCAACTATGTCAGAGATGCTGTAACATTTAAGGTGAGTCAATGAAACTGAGACTTCAAACTGCGACTATGAGCAAAGAATTTTGAAGCCTTTGTTTCAGTGGAGTTCATAAAAATACAAGTGCAAAGCAACAGGGACTTGTAATCCATACTCTTAAAAAAATTTCTTGCCACCTGCTGAATCATGAGTTTCTCAAACTCCTCCACAATCTCTGTTAGGCTAAGCCACTTGACCCCCGGGAAAAGCTCGATCAACCGACTGCCAATCTTCATGAGAAACAGATCCATTTGTACTTGTCGAACTAATCCAGGATGCAGAACCTGTAGAAGAGGGAAAGGGGTCCAGGTTATCTCAGATGGACTCAGAATACACTTGTCAACTGTGAAGTTTCCATTTGATTCGATAAGGCTTGTTCAGGGGATATTTCTGAATATTTTATGGCCCAAACCTATACATCTTAAATCAGAAGCAAACTGTACAGAGCCCAACAAAAACTGTACAGAGCCCAACAAAAACTTACTCAGAGTGTACCTGTGTTTACCACCAAGACATACCTTAATGGCCACTGGAAGAAGGCAATCCCTCTTGGGAGAAGATAAGTGTGTGCTAGGATATCCAAAACCTGAGTTCGGATTAATGCCTCCACAGAAACTATTTTTGCAAACAGACCAATGGCCACCATATATTGCTGAAGCATCATCATGCTTCCTCCGCCACAGCCACCTCACGAGTCCCTTAAGACCAAAGACTTGCCAGGCCTCCAAAGCAGAATCCAACCCAGAGTTCTTTGAAAGTTCTTTCAGTGTCGACTGTCCAAGAGCAGAGATGTCCACGTAAGCTTTATAAACCTGGGCAACGCAGCCAGCCCCAACAGGCTCCCGGCTTTCCAAGGTGAAGACCTTCTCCCAGCCGTCTCCAAATGCTTTCTCCAAAGACCGTTTCGTGTAATCCCAAGGGTGAGGAATCACCTTGATGTGAAGCTTGGAGAATTTGACACAGAACTCTTCCGAAAATAGGTCTCGCCTGGTGCTGGCCCACTGACCCAGTTTGATGAAAGTAGGACCAGAGGATTCCGTGACTCGCAACAGAAGATGGACCCAGAGGGATGCCAAAGTTGGGGAGAAGTAAGTGAAAGGGTAAAAGAAAAGAAAAGGCCCAAATTTCAGCAACAGGACACAGGTACGGATCATAACAGAAAAAACTAGCCCAACATGGTGGAGGAACTCTGCTTTGTTCAGAAGAACATTCACCCTTCTTTGGGCGTCTTTGCTGGACTCCGCTTCACAGCTCCCATCCTGAGGCAATCCTCCAACCCCCCAGCACACTAAAGTAATCTTGGCAACGCTGTTCCACCGGAACCCTCTTCCAACATTCTTAGAGGAGACTGTGACTGGCTTTCTACCTGAACTCCTTAAGAAACACAAAGGCTTCCTCCCACTCAGGACTCTGATATTAGAAAGAACTATCCGGGCAGTGCAAAAACAACCAGTTGTCATCGTGGTGGGGAGGAAAAATGACATCAATGGCCCGAGGAAAGGAGGAAAAGCCAGGGAAATACAAAACTCTGGAACAACAAGGATGGTACCAAGAACGTTGCATTGCATCACATCAATCCCTCGCCTTCCCTTTCGGCATGCCAGTCTTCTGAATCAGCTTGTACATAATAAATCCCGAGACCACGAGAGGTAGGCGGTGGCAGCCCAGGGAGTGGCTCTTCCATCACCCAAAAGCGAAAGCTGGATCCAGAAGCCCTGCTTTCGGTCACGTCTGCAGATGGGCGACAACTTCACCGTATTCCCTTGATGGAGGCCGCCTCGCTCACGTTTACGAAGCACGGGCTTCCTGGTCGGATGCTGCGGCACAAAGTGGCTCGTTCATCTGCAGTTTTTCGGAGGCGGCCTGGTTGTTACAGCCGCGAAAGAAGGGCCACAGATCGAACCGAAGCAGGGCCCTCCAGAGCCAACGGATGGGAGACCCGGCCCGCAGAACTCCACGCGCTCTATTCACGCGCTCGGCATGCCGTGGAACGCGGCGAGAAAAGGAATGGAACCCGAAGATGCGCAACGTTCCATTTCGTGGGAGTTCCGCAAATGCAAGCGAGGCCGCCGGCTCCGCCTCTTAAAGAGACAGTCGGTCACTATTCTGCAGGATAATGTACCGTAATACAGTACTGTACTGTATTTTCTGAGATCTATACTCTTAAGGCGCCGTATCGCAACGATTGCTCTCTGAGATAAATAGAGGGGTGTGTGTGTGTGTGTGTGTGTGTGTGTTGTGTGTGTGTGTGTGTGTGTGTGTGTGTGTGTGTGTGTGTGTGTTCCTGAGCTTCGTAATGGGCTGTATCTCTTTAAGGACACTAAAATGGAATGGGGGGGGGATAGGATATTATAAGAATTCTTTCTTAAGCCACAATACATACTGTACTTCAGAATTAACACATTGGAAATGAGACGAGTTTCTGAAATATGGACAAATCTTTCTTTTCAAAGGAAGGAAGAGCCATACCCCTCGATCTTATCTAAGTCTACTTGGAATTATTTGTGTTCCCCGCACCTGCAGTTAAGTCTCAACTAAAGTTTCTCATGTACAGTATGTATGTTTGTAAGTGCGTTCCACTGCATGGAATATTATTACAGCAATGTCAAGCAATCTTTCTTTGCGATGTTCTTTGTGGTATGCAACCACCTCCTGGAAATTCGTCACTCGGCGATAAAGGGGCAGCCCTACACACGTACCTAGATCTCAGCTTAGCCTGCATCAGACGTGTATAGGATTGAGCAACGGTTTCGGTGAGATGTGGGCTGTAGCCCCTGTATACCTTTGTGCGCGTGTGTTCTGTGCTGTCAAGTCGAAACCGACTAATAACGACCCTAATAGGGCTTTCAAGGTGCGATATTTAAGGAGTGGCTTTAGCAATTCTACTCCCCCACCCTGTGAATTTTCATGGCCAAGCGGAGAATCGAACCCTATATTCCAGAGTCCTGGTCCGTTGCTCTATCCGCTACTACACCACACTGGGAGTCCGCAGTACAGTATATGCTTAACCAGAATCTGTTCTCCAGACCCAGTATCCTGTTGCTAACCCCAACTTAAAGAGGCCCATTGACTCAATAGGATGCACTTCAGTGTTGATTTACTGTCCACCATTTCATCCAACGGGTCTTCTCTGTTGGGGCCATCAGTAGTAGGATACTGGCCGCTGAATTTAAATAGAGCATGCGGTTATTCTTAAGAATAGTGTTGCAGCCAAAGCTTAATTCATGGACATTTTGTGTTGTTGAACCAGTTCTTCATTAAGTTGTACATACCCTGATGCCAGCTGCAAGATTCCCCACACATTTCATTATGGACAGATTTAAAATGTTGATTTAATTTGTGTGATAAGCAGCTCACTGCCCCATTGGCTTGGCCATGCACGAGAAGACAACTTTGGGCCAAAGGGAGGAGCTCTCCTTAATTAAAGGCATGTTTTTACTTGTTCTAAATTCCTTCAGTTGTTGCCCAGCGGAAAGGACTTGGCAATTAATGTCACCCATACTCTTCAGTTGTGGATCCACAGTGCGGATCCACAGTGCTTTCTCCAGCAGGGAAAGATTTTAAAACTTTCCACCGTTCACAAACTACAAACCTGGAGACTAGACCTTGTAACAAATCCATATGCCAGCTTTCCCCCCAGAGTAGCTGTTTTTTTGTGCAGTCAATGTTCTTCAACCTTATGATTTAACCTTAATAGGATTTTCAAGGTAAGTGAGATAAAATAATGTCCTCCCATTGCCACAGTCCCTCCAGTGAGTTTCCATAGGCAGGCAAGAAGAGATTTAATTCCAGGTCTAGTCTGATGCTCTATCCACTTCACTGGCTTGCAGCATTACAAGGTGTAACATAATAAAGTTACCCAAAAGATCAGGGGTTCATCCACTTGCTCCTGTATCATATATGCCATTTTTGTCAGCAATTCTGCATTCTTTAAAGAGTGAGCTGGCCTGTACTGAGGAATAAATGGACACAGATATTGTATCAGAAATGGCAGTATGGGTAAAAGTACAGAACTTGTCAGAATGTCTCTCCCATTCTATCTGGCCCGCCATCTCATTGCAGTTCTTGATGTAAAACATTGTGGTTCCCAAGGAAGCCAAAAGAGCTAACACCAAATAACCATGCTTTCTAGATGGTGGCCCCTTCCCATTAGAGCAAACTTCCTACAAAAGTTCATCAGGCACCATACCTCTAAGTTTGTAAGAAATTAATAAAAACAGAATTATACAAAGTTGCATTTTCTTAATGTTTTTTACCATTGAACTGCCCAAATTGATTTTAAATTTGTCAATTCTATTTAACTGAAAGTTTTAAAGCTAGTGACAGGATTTTACTGTACAATAGAACATTGTACTGTACTGCCAAATGCTGTAATTTTTAAAAAAAAATAGTGTTGCAATAGCAAAGTGTGACCACTAGGTGGAAGTAGGCATATCAGTACAGATGTGCATTTGGATTTGAAAACACAGTATTCAGAATGCCTATTCAGATAGTTCCGAATATATCTAAATCCAAATTTGATCATTCTGTATATGTGTACTAATAATTCCTAATATTCAGAGTCCTATTTACTCCTATAAATCTGAAAGCAAAAGGCTGGTTTTCTGCTTGGTAGAGAAAGAAGTGGTGGCAAAACCTACTTCTCAGGCATCCTGGAGTGATTTATTGAGAAATAAAATACATTCTGGCACCAAGGATAGGGGAAGCAGAGAACTCAGTGCCTTATAACTGGGGTTGCCATGAATTTCCCAAGGGAGGGGAACAGAGATGAGAGCAAAACCTGTAAAAGATTTCCAAGGAGGTGGCAGAGAAGCTTCTGGTTGAAGGTGGGACTGAGATGAGTGAACCTCAGATGTGTTCCAGTAACATCTTTGTGCAACCCAGCGAAGGCAGCCAGAGAAATGGGCCAAAAGGATGGGGAAGAATGCACTTTTCTCCCAAAAAGCTGATGTGCCACAGGAGGATAAAGACAGCATCAGCACTCAGACATCGTCAACAGTGCTGCTTCTTTTGTGGTTGGGAAAGAGATTTATGAGGAGCACCAGACATTGCCTTCCATAGCCATAGCCATGCAGCTTCATCATATTTGAGGAAAGGTTTATGTACCTCCAGCCACCCCTCCCAGTAAATCTCTCCTGGGCAAAGCAGCATTGTGGTTGTTGGGAACTCCCCTTCAAGTACATATACATCTGATAGAAAGGAGGAGGAGACTGAGATGGACACCATTTCAGAAGCATGTGACACTGAAATCACTCCTGCCCCTCCTGTTGCCCCACCACCTGCTAGAACCAGTAGTGATGACAAGTTAGCAATCCCTGTTAGGAACATGCAGTAAAAAAAAAACTGGAGCTCCAGTTTTTCAACAGTGTGCAACAGCTGCTTGCATGGCTGAGTTTGTGCACTGCAAGAAGGTGCTTAGGCATTGGCAGGACTTGGGCCACCTCTCCAATAGTACCATGCTCAGCCACCTGAAGACTCAGAACAGGACCTTCTACCGGCAGATAAAGGGGTGTTATGGGGCAAGTGGATTCCTTGTTGTGAAAGGCAAGAGTCATCAGAGGACAGAAGTTGATCACCAGCCTGGTTCCCATTGTCCCTCACTACTTACTGATTGTCCTGGGTGCGGCTGATGGGAGATACCATCTAATATTCAGAGAACTACACATCACTGCAACAATTGTATGCATGTTCTTTTTCATATGTATGCACATTTATGTAAGTTTCTCCAGCCCTGCCCCGCCCCGCTTCTATGACACATTCCTCACACTTGAATTAAAATATTGTAAAATAATGAGCAGGTTTTTTAATTCTTTACCATGGTTTTAGTTTCTCCCCCCCCTTTTTTTTTTCTTAAATGAGTCAACTAAGCCACTGCAGGACATATTTTGTATAAATCCTTGGAGCATCACTAAGTTTACTGAGGCTGAGCCTAACATTATTTCACAATAATCCTCCAAAATAATCTGATAGAAGTGATTTAACGTAAGTGTATGCAATATTTTTTAAAGTGGTATTACTCATTGTAATTTTTGTACAATGAGTAATTTGTCACCTAATTTTTATATCAGTATAATTGGTGTAAAGAGACATTATCTTGCACATGGCTTATCTTCCTAGCAAATTCCGTATATTCTTTTAAAGAGCTTATTTCTGCTTTGTGTTAAAGACTAGTCAATTTCCCTTTTATTAAGCGCCAAGGCCCTTGGAGCAAAAGCTCGACTGCATATTGTACACTACAATGGGATCATTGTTTGTGATGTGGGTCTCTTGGACAGTGCTTCATTAAATGGATCTCGAATGCTCCAGCACAAGGCTTGGATGTTGTATAAACACACATGGAAAAATACCTTTGTCTTCCAGGAATATGATGGGCATAATCTAAATGTTTCATAGTCCCAGACCAGGAATGAGGAGTCCAGTGTTTTTACTGCCTTTTCAGTGGGATTTATGCAAGGGTGGATGGGAAATTTGATTATACATGTTGTCCAATATTTCATATATGAAAATAGAAATGCAAAGTAAAACAGAAGATCCTTGTGTGAGCTATTCCCTGTTGACCCCAAATGTTACATTTCCTTTATTTTTTATTATTCACATTTCAAATTCATTATACAAAATTAAAGAATTTCAGAATAGTAAAACATTTAATATTATCCTTTCTTGAAAGTTCTGCTCTGCCAGCTGGACCAGGAAGTTGGAACACATCCAGAGGGAGGCAACCAAGATGGTAAGGGGTTTGGAATTAAAGCCCTAGGAGGAACAGCTGAGAGCTGCTGATATTTAGCATATAGAGTAAAAGATGGACAAGTAACATAATAGCCATCTTTTTCACCTCTCCCGGTTACATATGGAGAGAGGTAGCAGCTAATAGTAAAAGATTCAAAGCATCTACATCAAATGTGCATCTACTCTTCAGCGACCTCATTCTTCCCCCAGATTAAAATCAAGGAAAAGTGAGTGGTGTATTTTTTCCCTTCAAAATATCTGTGAATCCTGAAAGAACAACAGAGACTATGAGATGGAATGAAAGAACTACCAAACTCTTAAAATGCATGGAATCTCTGGAAAGTCTGGCTCTCAGTCACAAGGAGAACTGGGTTACTAGGCTACAGACTGAAGTTGGCAAAACCAAGGTAAACATAAGAAAGTAAGGTTTTGTTTTAAGAAGAACTGGATTGAATGGAAGTATATAGATCCTAGAGTTCTGAGTGGCTCCTTATACAGTAGGTGGCAGTCAGAGAATCTGTTTAGATTTTGGTGGAGTACAGTACATATTAAGCCACAGCAGCCCCCCAGGATCCGGATGGGCATTTTGGCCAGTGCTTTTCTCTAGATGGGTTTGTGAAGATAAGATAGTAGCTTCCTTATCCAATTGCCTTCAAATGAGAAGGAACAGTGTGCAAGAAATGCAGCAGAGTCTGTGCATTTTATGGTTTGTATGAACTGGGCATGTTTCAGATCAGTCTCTAGCAACACATGGTACAGTATGTATTTGTGAACTGACTGCATTATTAAGAGCAAATAAATGAGGGGTGGAAACATCAATTAAATAAGAGATGGGGGAAAAAGAGAAATCAACTGATACTCTTTATCGCATTGTTTGCATTTATGAATACATTCAGTGACTGCCCAGAAATGCATGTGATGATGTCTTTTGAACCTAGAAGCTAGTAGGAAATAAAATTCTAAACAAAATGGATTGGGGAATAATGAAAAGTCTTGTGACAACTTAATATGGCAAAAACATTTGCAAAATAATCACTAGATATATGAAGTGTTCTCAATTGGCAGGTATATATAGTTATGACATACATAGAGAAAAATGTCAATGGGTCATAAGGAAAGGAAATGTAAAAAAAATACACTTCAAGCGACAATGGTCAATATTCTACTGCTCATCATATTGCACAAGATTTTGATGAGGTAACCACCTTGGGATGCAATATATAGAGAAAGATGAGTTATAGATCAAATAAATGAATAAGGCATAGTTTTTAATAACTCGGAAATGTCCTGTGCCTTGAATCTTCTGCAGCTTATTGGATATGTATACTGTAGAAGGAAAACCAACATAAGTTGCTGTAGTTTTGTTGAGATATCTAGCTAGGTAAAAATGATCTGAACAGAACTGCCGGAATATCAACTCCTGAAAGTGAATTCACATCTGAAGTTCATACAGAACTGGCTTGCAGTGCCATCTTTCCTGTCATACATCAGTAATTATATTGCTGTGTGGTTTGCATCTTTTCTTGCAAAATGGCCCCCACCCCACCCCAATCAGACTACAGATGTTGGCAATGAAGAAAGTGAACTATTTAAATATGTTATATACTTTGGTTCAATCATCAGCCCAAATGGAGTCTGCAGCCAAGAAATTATAAGACTGAGACTTGGAAGAGCACCAATGAGGGAACTGAAAAAGATCATTAAGTACAACAAACTGTGTCACTGCAGATGACGGCTAAGGTAATCCACACAATAGTATTCCTAGTTTCTTTGTATGATGTGAAAGCTGGACAGTGAAGAAAGCAAATAGGGAAAGCATTGACTTGTTTGATGTATGATGCTGGAAGAGAGCTTTGTGAATACCCCAGACCACCAGAAAGATTAAAACAAGTCAGAACTTTCCCTGGAAGCAAAAATGATGAAACTGAGGCTGTCATACTTTGGGCACATGATGAGAAGGCGAGACTCTCTAGAAAAGATGATGATGCTAGGAAAAATTGAAGGCAGTGGGGAAAGAGGAAGACCAAATACAAGATAGATTGATTCCATAAAGGAACCCACGGCTTTTGAGTTTGCAAGGAGCTGAGCAGGGCTACTGAGGACAGAACATTCTGGAGAGTGCCCAGTCCTGAGGATTGCCTTAAGTCAGAGTCAAATTGACAGCACCTAACAAAAACAACCACCTTTTTACTTAAAAAATGAGAATGGACTGATTAAATACATTTACTAATCAAAGCCTCGCCTTTCTCTGCTTTGCCAGGGAAACTCACAGGCATGGGGTATAGAGTAGGGTCCCCACTTTTATGTCACCAGAAAGGAAGGACATGGATTACCAAACAGGTCAGCAGTACAAATGGAGGACCGTCCTTCCTAAAGGAAGATATATACCGTAAATGTGCAGCAAACACCGACATTAAATCTGGGGAAATCTTGCTGGGGGGGGGAAGGTATAGAGCAAGTAAGAAGAGGGGGAAGAGACCTCTTCCCATACAGTATCTCCTCCCACACACCTCCCAGTCCCCCAAAGTTGTCCAGCAGAAGGCCCTGTTTCGTGTCGTTTCCCCCCCAAGTATTCTGGGTTTCCAGGGCAACGGGGCCTGCTCTTGCAGCCAGCTGCAGATTAGCTCACTGGAAAGAAGTCAGGATGGGTCAGGCTAGGGAAGGGTGGGAAGCAAGCCACAGGAGGAGGAGGAGGAGGAGGAGGAGAAAAGGAGGAGAGGGAGGGAGAGAGGGACACAAGGGAGGGTGGGATTCACATCCTAAACTTTGAAGGGCGACCGAGACGCACAACCGTGGGAGGAGGGGGTCGCCTTGCGCAGTGGGGAGAAAAGGGACGGCGGGTTGGAGGGAAGAAAAGAGGATCTGGGTCCAGCCGCGGGTGGGTGGGCTTGCTGTGGGAGCCTCTGGAGCGGGAGTCACTCCGAATGGAGCCGGAGAGGCGAGCGTTTGTAGCGGGAGAGAGGGAAACCCTTTAAAACAGCGAGCAGGAACTCTCGGGTAACAAAAGGGAGGCAGGCCAGGGGAGGGGCCGCCGCCGAGCAGGGGGGGGGGTTTGCAAATTATGCGGCCAACGTTTGCTTCGATGGCTGGCCCGGCCGGGCTGAGGCTGGACTTTCCCAAGATGAGCACGGACGGCAGGCGGGGGGCAGCCCGGTTACTGCCCATTGAGCAAGGTAGGCACTGGGGCTTGCAGCGACACGGGGCTCCCCTCTCTCCGTTTTTTTGGGAGGGTCCGTTTTTTTTTTGAGGGGGGGTTCTTTGGCGGGGGAGGGGGAAACGGGGTGGTCTGCCTGATTTCCCGTGGTAGTAGTAGTACCATGTTTGCATGGATGGGGGGCTAAGAGTTTCTCGGGTTTGAAGTAATGTTTGCAAACACATGCGCGCGCCTCCGCGGTTGCCGTGGGCATGAATGGCTCGAGGGAAAGAGTTGGCGGTCAGGGGAAGAGTACGAGAGACCCAAAGGGGAGAAAGTCGGGTCGTTGCGTTCCTTCCCCCAAACCTGCCTGAGGCGTGGAATCTTTGGGAAGAGTATTCCTGAATTATATCCTGGATGTATTTTGTCTACGGGTGCGGGGTGTGTGTGTGTGTGTGTGTGTGTGTGTGCGAGAGAGAGAGGGGGGGAGGGACACGTCGTCGTGGGGATGGATATCTGGCAAAGGTGGATTCACGTCCTAGCGGAGACGCTTCAGGGTGCAGGGTGGCTCTGTGCGAGAAGCTGGAATTGTCGTCGAAACGGACGCCTCCGGAAACTCCGAATTTCAAAATGTGGAAGAGAATGTCGCAAAACGGATCGATCTTTGACAGTGCAATAAAGAGGGAACCAAACCTTTGGCATAATTTGGAGGAGATGGGTGGGTCAACAGTGGAAGAAGGGCACTCCTCCCCATTTCTGTGCTACTCTGGATGCCAAAAAAAAAAAGCTGTCGAGGTGTTAAAGCTATTCATGTAATTTTTATTTTTTTTTAAAAAAAGAGCAGATAAATTTAAGATAAATTCTGTGATAATAACAGCTTCTTTGCTGTTATTACAGTGTGATTTACTTTTGCTGTTGTTACTCTTGTTTAGGAATACAAATAGTAAGTAGATTCTTTCATCCTCTGTGAGGATGACTGATGGTTGCAATGAGATAGTGAAAGGGAGAGAGATTATCTTGTTAGAAGCGGGGAAAGCTGAAACTCCCCCCCCCTCCGCGCAGTTTTTCAGAAGTTTGATGTAAGTTGGGGATCATTCTAAGCCTTTGTTATTGCCTTGGTTTGGATCTGAAAAATTGGACAAAGCCATAGCAAAATATTGGAACAGAATTCCTAAGGTGTGTGTGTTTTAAAGTGTAATAAATTCCCACTTTCTCAATTCACAGTGAAGGGAAAAAAAAAACTATAAACCCTGTGGGGGAGTAAGGAGTGATGGAGGAATAGATTGTGTAATGCCATTTTGTTTCCTTTGATGCAACTGTCTGTTTGTACGTGTGTGCTTGCATACACACACTGATGCACCAATTACTTGTAGCAAGATAGCCTGAAATTTTTGTAGTTTGGTAAACTAGGTTAGAGCTGTGTTTTTAATGTACCACTAAAAGCAATTAATATTGTACAAGTGGCCCACTTGTGTTTCACCTTCCACCATTTCCAAAGATATAGTGATACTAATTTGTCTGAACATGTTGACAAAAGTAAAATGGGGGGTTGGGGGGGTTGGGGCTAAATATTGTGTGAAATTTTGATTCATTGGGAGGGAGGGACCAATAGATACGTTTCAGTGCGTTATTTTTGTGGATCAGCAACATCGCGATCCATGAAAGTTCACACTAAATAAACCTGCTAAAGTCCTTCAATATTTTATCTGCCCCCGCCCAACACTTGATTTTTGGCAGTCTTCCACTACTGCTCTCCATATTACAACTGGATACAGAGTAAGGAGACATGCTTGAGGCAGCAGGTTTGGAGATGATTGTGACAAGTTTGCTCTTAGTTTGTTTATAAATTGCTACACTGGAGGAATCACTGTTTGGATTAGTCACCTGACAGTGTTTTCTAGTCCTCATTGTCCTCAGTATCTCATGTAAATGTATAACCAGTTGATGGTCATGAAAAGGGTTGGGGTTGTGTGGAGGATGAAGGACGATAACACATTTTCTCTGCCCCTGCAAAAATATTGTCCATATATTGGTAGTTTTCATTGTGTGCAAAATTGTGATGTGGCATTTGATGTACTGCAGTAGGGCTTCTTTGATATAGCTATAAAACATTCCATAATTTGTTTAAAGTTTTAAATTTCCAGCACCAGATTCTCAAGTGGAACAACTGAGACAGGCACATTTTTTTTCTGCCTAAATTATAGGGAAGGAAAGTACTAATAAATTTTTAAAGTATGGAGGGCTGAGGCAACTCCCAGCTGAGGACTGTAGTAATGCCTTCATTTCCATCCGCCTACTATAGATTCCAGTCTAAAATCAACACAGTCCCTTTTAATCTTAACATACATGCTTGGTGGGTTTTTTTTTGGGGGGGGCATTTGTGATTCTCATTGGTCGCATTAGATAATTGAGGAGTATAACTAAACATAAGAAACTCATTAAATGTCAGTGTGCTTTGAATATGTATTAGATTAGCTGAAAGAATTGAATGTAAGCAGGAATGCCTCAAATTTTTTATTAAATATTGGGACCAGCCCTGCCCTTAGACAGATTGAGATTGCTGCCTCAGGTGGTAGATCTGGAGGTTACAAGGTAGACAGATGTGCCACATGATCTGGCCTTTGCCCCAAAGTTAGGTTGCTGCTTTCCAGTGGTGTAGAGATAGTGCTGTCCTGTTGGCAGTGTTGAGAACAGTTAATCAGTTTGCTCTGTTTCATCTTTTGTATGTAGAAATGGGAGAACAGTGATGCGCATCATCCTGCCCTTTTCCTCAGGCAGGAACATGACTTGTACTGCCCTTTTTTTAAATTTAATTTTAAAACAAACCTTTGCCAGCCTGGTGCTTTTCTATTGTTTTGGATTCCAGCTCCTGGAATTCCTTACCACAGCCATACTAATTGTGGCTGTTGGGAGTGAAACTTCACCATATCTGGAGGGCACCAAGTTTAATACGGCTGTTTTAAATATTTTGCATGTTTACTTCTGATTGAGAGGAGAGCTCATATAAGCTTGTTGAATGGAAATCCACCACCTGTGTTCTGTAATGTATGATCACATGGGAGTAGATTTATTATTTCATCATGTACAGTACTATACTGTATATCCTGCGATTTGAGAGGAGAGCTCATATAAGCTTGTTGAATGGAAATCCACCACCTGTGTTCTGTAATGTATGATCACATGGGAGTAGATTTATTATTTCATCATGTACAGTATTGTATATCCTGTTTTGCTATAGCTTGGCAAGGAGCTTTGTGGCTGTAAGGAGCCTCATGGTGCAGTGGCTAAACTGCACTACTGCAGCCAAAACTCTGCTCACAACCTAGATTCAGTCCCAGGTAGTTGGCTTGAGGTTCACCCAGCCTTCCATCCTTCAGAGGTTGGTGGAGGGGAGGGGCAGTATGTAGCCTGCATAATTAAAATGTAAATCAGAGTGCTTTAAACGCTACATAAACAACACACTTTTGATATTCCCAGCAAACTCCAGTAGTAGTACCCAATCTCCTGCACTCACTGTTGCTGCTATCAAGTACTGTAGCTACTGTTGTAATTCAATTGTAAACCACCCAGAGAGCGCTGTAAACGCTACATAAACAACACGCTTCTGATATTCCCAGCAAACTCCAGTTAGTAGTACCCAATCTCTTGCACTCACTACTGCTGCTATCAAGTACTGTAGCTACTGTCACATACCTTTGTCAGGGCCTTGGAGAAGTTTTTTAAAAAAACACAGTTCCCACAATCCCCCAGGCAGTATAATCTGTAATTAAAAAACAGCAGCAACAAACAACTTAATCTCTGCTGTTCTTAGTGTGGTTTATGGAAGACCTGTAGCACAGTTGTAGTATGCATGTTGTTATGCACCTTCAGTCCTTGGCATCTCTTTATTAAAAACATCTCAACAGAGTTGTGACCTCACAAAAGTGTGTTAGAATCCATTACAGAGTTTCTTAACTACCAGCAGCCTTCAGAAAGCTGCTTAGATTTGTGACAACAGAAGCTGGAATTGGATTTAGTGCATGTGTAGCAGTTATGATCCAGTGGTGAATCCATTACAAAGTTTCTTAACTACCACCAGCCTTCAGAAAGCTGCTTAGATTTGTGACAACAGAAACTGGAATTGGATTTAGTGTGTAGCAGCTATGATCCAGTGGTGGCTGTGAGAACTGGCTCTTGTTTCCTCCACATGCCCCATCTTCGCCAGGCATTGTAGAAAAGCACTCTAATTAGAAAACTGCTCTCCATCCAATGGCTGATTTAAAGTCTGCAGTCCCAGACCTCACTTACAGTGAAGAAAGACCCCTGAGCACAGTGGTTTATATCTGATTGCTTGTCCCAGCTGGAGTAGCCAGTTTGAAACAATTGCTGAATGGTAAATCAGTACAGTGGACCCTTGACTTACAGACGGCTTGACTTACAGACTTTTTGACTTGAGAACCGCCTTCCAATACGGATTAAGTTCTCAAGTCAAGACCCCACTGTACTTACGCAAATTCCATTGATTCAGTGATATGTTCTGGTTTGGGACTAGCAGCTGGATTTCAGCCAAGGAAGACTGTATGGATTACTCTGTTAAGTAGCATGTTGTATTTGAAACAGGTGTAAACACAACATGGTGTCTTTCAAAAAGTCTCATCCTAGTTCTTTAGAATTAGTATGTGAACTGAACAGGAGAACTGAACAAAGCTATTGGTGAGCCCTAACCAGATTGCTTCCACATGCCTGCTGAGACCATGGTTGACTTCACTCTTCCCTATCTGAGGGGAAGGGCTGAGGCTCTTTCACCAGTGCTTGGAGGTTCCTGTTGTCAAGCTTGCAAGATCAAGGCCAGTTGAGAGTGAAAGTGGTGCGCTCAGGAACCTGCAAGGTTATTTCTGATCAGAGAGAGCGGCAAGCATTCCTGTTCCTGCCCCCCAGCCCCTAGCTTTGGAGGGGAAAGGAATGGGAATTTTTCTTAAATTAAAAAGCTCCAAGTGTTTTAGATGCAGTGAAAATCCTCTTACGTGACAGTGAACTCCTTGAACTTAAGAAGAGTAATTT